GGATGGATTGGGCATTTGCGTTTATAGCAAATACCAGGTAACTGAGAATGGAAAGCAGAATTCGCAGCTTATGCATAGCAGTGGTTTATTGAATGAATCTACAAAAACGGGTACCAGATCAGTTTATAGATGCTGTTAAAATCCGTTTACATAAACCAACCAGCGTCTTTTTTTCACCTAGTTTACCTTTTCCGGGGAGTCAACATTAAACATGTCGGTACTTTCTTCTTTTTTACGGATGCCGAAGTTATACCGCAGGTTTATGCCCAAACGGCGTGTATCACTCAGGCGATACCCACTTGCATTCACTGATCCCTGGTTAATGGTAAAATCATTGCGAAGCGTGCGGAACATATCATTCATACTAAAAGTCACAATCAGCTTCTGCTTAAATAATTGACGGTTAATACTTGCATTCAGACCACCAAAATTGCTTAACTCATAAAATTGTTGCTGGCCCTTTATACGGATAAAACCATTGAGTGTAAACTGTGACAGCTTGCCCAACTTCAGGCTATGGTAGGTGAAAAAGGTCCAGGTGCCTTTTTTAAATGACAGCGGTTTATTTTCATAAATACCCTGGTAGAAATTATGATTGAATTGGCCGCCTACAACGAAAAAGTATTTCTTTCCTGGCGGAATGGCGCCTAACCCGCGGATATAAAATTCCTTATTACTGCCTAAATTATCATAGGTGCGATAGGCCTGCGACTGGCTTGTATCAGACTGGTAAATGACGTTGGTGAAAATATCACGGGTCTTATTCATCCCAATGGCCAGCAATGGCGTTTCGTTTACGCTGATATTAGCCTCATAGTTATTGTTGAATTGCGGGCGTAGAGCGGGGTTGCCGGTTTCAGAGAGGTATTGATCGACATAACGGGAAAACGGATTTAGCTGTTCATATACAGGCCGGGTAATCGTGCGGCGATATACCAGGTAGGCCCTGAGTTCAAAACCCGCGATGGAAATTACTTTTTTGCTCAAATAGATGTAGGGAAACAAGTCAGTCCGATGGATGGAAAAAGTAGTATCGGCAGGCACTACCTGGTGTCCTTTCATGTTGGTATTTTCGAGCCGCGTACCAAATTTGATCACCATATCCTTACCCAGCGTTTGGGAAC